ATGAATAGCGCGCCTGTAGAACTTTCAGTGGCGCTCATGCTGCGCAAGTGCCGGTAGCTTTGACTTCAGCGATGAAAACTGGCTATTAGCGACGAGCTGTTTTGGTGGCGCCCTCCTGTGGTTCCCTGTCGTGACGTCATTACCTTGCGAACAATAAGTTCGATGGTGTTTGTAATTAGAATGGTGGAAGCTTGAAATTATCGCGCTCTCAAAGCAACACTGCCAACACCGTCAGATTTCAAGTTCCTCTTATTTCCGTCGATGAGAAATCCTTTGCTGACGTCATAGTCAGCATTCAGCCAATCGTGACAGGCCGACCATAGCGTCGCTTTTGATCACGTACGTCGCCAACAGACCTTTCTAAAAAACGGCTCCTGGCCGGTTCCATTTTCAGTGTTCGTGCGTATGGCGCGTGATTTGCTCGCTTTACAAAGCGACGAACATGCGCGTGCTGGGCTGAGGAGAACGCACGCTGGGCTGAGCACTTGTGGATATTGGAAGGGTGTATAGACGCTTCGCAGACGCTCCAGATAAGAACCGCCATTGCTGACCTTCTCTTGTCTTACCGAGATGCCGAGCCATGGGAGCGGGCGTTGACGAGCTTCCACAAAGGCCAATGCTGCAGGGAGAAGGACACAGTAGAATCTAAAATGGCAGTACCCTTCCCTGCTGTGGTCATGATGAAGTGAAGTAAGCGTAAAAAAAGGACGCAAGAAATAAACTGTAATAAGGTGGAGAACTGGGCCAGTTGGTTGACGTTATACATAATGGGGAAAACAGGTCAGAAAACACGGACTACGAAGAGGAACAACTACAACAGGACAATGCTGTAAGCAGCATTGTCCTGTCGTGGTTGTTCCTCTTCGTAGTCCGTGTTTTCTGAGCTGTTTTCCCCATCATGTAGGACGCAAGAAATTGAGGTCAGTTATGGCGGCGCCCATGCACAGCTGCTGTAAAGTGTCGATAGGGACTATTTACTGCCGGTCATATCAGTGTGCACGCCTGATGAGCGCGAGCGGACGGCGACCTTCTGCATCTTTTTTGCAACGGGCATTGTGAGCCTAATATTGTGAGCTCGTTTTGAGCATGCGCGCTAAACATCGCTCTCAAATATGGCGTCCAGTAAATAGCGTGCGGCACGCGCCGTTTCCTTGACGCCGGGCGCGGCTGAGATAAATAGATTTCTTGCGAAATCGAAGCGATCCTAGCGCAAACCATCTTGGGATCCCATTGGCCAAGAGTTTGTTTTGATTTTCCAATCTCACTACTCCACATCCCGTCACTACCAAATACTGTGCTTGCACTTTCCAATTTGTGAATTTTGTAAATTTATAATACTGTTCGTGTTGCCTACCAATACGAATAGAATACTAGAGCACGTTCCCTGTTATTTTTTTTTTATTTACTTTTTTTTTGGAAAAAGGCTTTTGACGTGTTAGAGTTTATGCGCAGCTAAGCACAGACCTACGATAGCAGAGAAAAGAAGTATACTATACCAATCATCCTGTTCAATTATCTTCTCAATCTAGTTAGTTCTTAAATCATCCGTTAGCAGGGAAGCCATGCTGCACTCTGGAGCAAGCCAGGCCGCTATAAAAGTAGGGATGTGGCCGGACGTACTCGTACTCCTCACTAAGTTTTGGCGGGTCCTTACGGCCGATGGAGGGTGCTGTCTCAACGGGGGCTCTCACGAAGATGGATGGGTGCAATGCAATCAAGCGCTGACTTTATTTTCATGCAGTGCTGAGGTTCACTAATCCGTCAAAGGGGCAATCGAAACCGAAATCATGCCACTCTTCACCGCGGCCAAAGAGGCCTCATGATGCAACGCGTGCAAGGATTTTTCTAAGTTCCCTTTTTTGTTGTGTGTATGTTTTTACAACCGGGAGTTAGCGGCGTTCGGTGTCTCAACTGTAGATAAGAAATGTAGCCAGGGAAGTACCACCGCTACCCAAGTGATACACGACTGCCCAGTCAACGCAATGGCATCCTGAGGATGTACTGTGGATGTCGAGTCCAGGATGATGGGTAGTCCCGAGGACATCTTGAAAGAGTCTCGAATGATCCTCAAATAATCTTTTTGTCCAGACCCATCATGTCCTGAGAACATCCTGAGTTGTCAGCCCTAAGGACTGCATGGGGACCTTTCTGGGATAAAGGCACCCTACTGGTTCAGTCAATGCATATCGTCAAGGAAGCGTTTGATCATTAATGAAGTTCAGAAATATACAGGGTGTTCCACGAAAGGTGGACAAATTCGATATTGCAAAAACTAAGCGTCGCAACAAAAAAAGACTTGTGTCATTTTCGTCCTGGGCCAGGGGCCTATTTAGGAACATTAGATTTCGGGATAATTAGATTGCTAATTTTTTTGCATAATTAACTCTTTAATATTGGGCATGGTTTCAATGAAAACATTGCTCAGCATCATCGAAAGACACTAAATCGACAAATTGCAGAACGATAGAATGCACGCGCAGCATTTTACGGCTTTCTGAAAAACAGCACAAATTCGACAGGCTTTTAAGTTCCGGTTTGCTATCAGAGCGCATCTCGGCCCCGACGGCACCGCGCCCCGTGTAGAAATAGTGCAACCAACCTTTGCTGCGCTGTCATTGCCCGACGCAGCAGAGGCTGGTTGCACTATTACTCCACGGGGCGCGGTGCTTTTGGGGCCGAGATGCACTCTGATAGCAAACCGCAATTTAAAAGCCCGTCGAATTTGTGCTGTTTTTCAGAAAGCCGTAGAATGCTGCGCATGCATTCTATCGTTCTGAATTTGTTGATTTAGTGTTTTTCGATGATGCTGAGCAATTTTTTAATTGAAACCATGCCCAATATTAAAAGGTTAATTACGCAAAAAAAATTAGCAATCAAATTATCTGGGACTCTAATAATTTTCTTAAATAGGCCCCTGGCCCAGGACGAAAATAACGTCGTTTTTTATTGCGACGCATAGTTTTCACAATATTGAATTTGTGCACCTTTCGTGAAACACCCTGTATATATACAGGGTGCCTCAGATAACATGCAGCGAATTTCATGAAATAATGAAACACTAGACGGATAAAAGCAACTATATGATGACGCAGACATCTTCAGAAAATGTCCCTATTTATTTTATCGTGGTTAACTAATTAGGTAAAATTAATTGATCAACTTTTTATTTATTGGTCTAGGAGCTCAAGTGTTATTTGAAGTTTTAGAATGTCATGAGAAATGATCGATTATGAATTTTACAGCAGTGTGTGCTTTGACTAGTCTTCTTTGAAAGGCAAGAAAAAACACCCATGAACCAAGGCACACAGACCGCTATTGCAAGGTGGGTGGTCAAAGGGCGTTTTAAAATTCCTGAGGTATTTTTTGTTTTGTAAACAGGACTACAGAAACCACACCTTGTTTTAAACAGTATAATTGTAGCTTTCTCCTGATGCTCTACAACATTGCTAATCACAGTTCAGCTCTTAAAGGGGCACTGACACATCAAAATCACATTTTTTTTTATTATCCGAAACGATTGAAAACGATGCCGGGACATTACCCTCAAAATTCGAGATTTGGGAATTCAGTATTCGTGAAGTAAAAAAAAACAATTTCCAAATGCCGAATTCGAAGTTCCCGCGCGATCGGCGCCGGTGCCTTGACGTCAAAAATTGCGGAGACCTGAGAGTCCACTTCCTTTCACCACTCCCTGCTGTTGCCATGGCGACCCAAAGCGAGGAGGAAAGGAGCGAGCGCCCGGCGTTGCGGCGGACCGGTTTTGAGCGGTGTCGCCTGTTTTCCGTTGGAGGATACAAATCCAGGAGACGGCACCACAACGAACCCCCGATTTTTGGTATTTCAAAAAGAAGGGCCGTAGTGCGTTCGCAATTGCGTTAAAAAACATGTTTTAGGATTGCCGTAATTAAATGTTATAGAGATGTCGCCTACAAAGCTTCTAAATTTCCTGATTTTTGACGTCACCGATCAAAAGAAGCGAGGAGGCGAGAGGCGGGAAAATCAAACGAAAGTTTTTTTTCGCGATGCGGTTTTTTTGGCGTGTCTATGACTGCAACTTGCATCGTTTTAGATAATAAAAATAAATACGACCTTTGGGGTGTCAGTGCCCCTTTAAACCAATATTTAAAGAGCTGACTTAATTAATTTTACAGAATTAGTCACAACGAAAAATATAGTGACAAATTTTGACACGACTGCTAAGAGCATACAGCTGATTTCATTCACCTGGGGTGCTTATTCTTTTTAGTGTTTGCTGCATGTGATAAGGGCACCATGTATCCAAAGTACCATTAGGCGATGCTTGATAGCTGACTGGCCTTTTCGGGGTCACCCATGCAAATGCTGAACTGGCTTGCGATGGATGCTGCGCAGGCTCCTTCAAAACCATGAAACCAACACACACAAAAAATTAGAATTATTTTAACAGAAGAATAGGCAGAAAGTACCAGCCAAAATATTTATTGAATAGAACAAGCAAGAACAGCACTCTGAATCAATTAAGGGCCAAACTTCAAATTTTTGTCCTAAAAAATAAAAAAAATACCTAAGAAGATAATTTCCTCTCAAAACAAAATTCCTAGCACGCTAGTGGACCCTTCAAAAATCCCGGTCCGTGTTTCCCATCTGGGCTCCTCCTTTCGGTTATTGAGGGACGTCATGGGAAAGCCTTGAGGAATGACAGCGACAAGGCTTCCTGCGACGTCCCTAGATAAACGAAAGGAGGAGCCCAGACGAGAAACGAGGACTGGGGTTTTTAAAGGGTCTGTTAGCGTGCTAGAATGCTTCTTTCGAGATTTTTCTTCATATTTTTTCTTATTTGGACAAAGAAAGTATGAATTTGGGCTTGTCAGGGCTCCTAAGCAAAATGGCTGGAAACAATAAGAATCAAACAAGACAAGGGTACTAAGATTGAAAAATAAAATAATGAAATGATAATCACTTCCCGTGTTGGGCAATTCTGGCTGCTGGTCTAAAAAGTTATCATTTAGCTGCAGACAAGAGGCATTCATTATAAATAATGAGAAAAAAATATTAGATAAAGATACTAGAATTTGAACACTAAAACAACTGGAAATGATAATGACAAACTAACAAAACTTGTTCTTTGGTGTTATTGTGGCTGCGGGTCAAACAAGTATTACCTGAAGATGGGCTTGAAGAGAGAAAATAAAGCATGAATTAAAGAAGGTGCACACTATACATGGATATAGATGTTCATAAAAAGTTAGGGGGTGTTGCCAAGACCAGATTCCTCAAGCTTCCTGAGCTTCTCCGCCGCGTGTCGTAGCCACGTCTTGATTACCTCCTCAATGTCGTGACGTGTCGTTGTGATACGGGGGTTTCTTTTTACAGCTTCTGAAAAGGTGTAAGGTTTGCTATTACTAGTCACCCAAAACCCAGAGTGCTAGCTATTGGGCAAAATCGCAACAATGGCATGAGTATGCTCATCCCTTCCTTGAGGCGATTGAGGAATTGTCAGAAATACTTTCATTATTATAGCCAGCCAACTGATCACACTGTAAAACTGTTGTGCACTTTCAGAGCATATATTAGATATTTATTGGTTATTTTGGGGGAAAAAAAGAACACTACTTCCAAACACCATTCCTTCAAAAAAGCATTGCCATAATGTGTTGTGTACTTACGGTAAATGAGCTCAACACACTGCAGCTGTTGGAATTTCGCCTTGCCCTTTTGCCCTTTCCAGCTGAAATTCACCGCAACGTTTTGGGTCATTAGAGCTTCCAGCAGTCGACGAGTAGTGGCCCCTACAGTCTTCCCTCCGAGTCCCATGAACCAATTTACTTGTGTCACAGAAAAACAGGTTTATATAAATACCAGGCACTTCCATGGCATCTAGCCAAATGCTCCATAATTACACTTACCAGCTTTTTTTCTCATGGCTTCGCTAGCCTGTAGTTGGCACTTAGATTCCATGAAGGTGTCATAGCTTGCGGGTGGCTCCTGAACGGGGAAGTTGTCGTCATCGTCCTCCTTGTGCTTGTTCACAGCTTCTAACACAGTGCCCATCAGGGCAGTCAGGTTATCAAGCCTCAGCCAGATCATGTGTAGAATTTCCAAGGTGTGCCGCCTGAAACCTGAACCATCAACAGGAGCTTCGTATAAAATTGTTAAAACCAGCTATCAAAGGCAATCCGAAAAGTTTCATACCTTCAGGCTCAGGTTCCTTTTATACAGTTTTACTGGCAACATTATGGCAAGGAGGTGTAGAGCTGGAGGTTGTACTGGATTGCTTAAATGCTGCACAAAAAAACACAGTTTCACTGAAAACAAATCAATGACAAATAAGTGACTTCGGGACCGAACAGTCTTAAAACCCTTAGAGGTCGTGAGCACTTATTCTATTTGCTATTGTTCCAGTCAGGAACTATTTTGTCTGTTTTGGACACTGCACAGGAAGAGCACTCATGTGAACAAACACATAGCAAGTAATTTACCCAGTATTTTTTTTTTTGATTCCCGAGGTTTATAAAGGTACTACTAAGCACAAAGGTGTTATTTCTTTTCCTATGCTGCTAGTTTTTCATAGACAGCATCACAGTGGTTTTCACTTGAATCGCTAGAGCTTGCTTGTTACGATGAGTTTGAATAGGTCTCAATTAGCGCAACACTGTCACTGACACGTTGGGCAAGCTTTCGGCGAAAGAGGCGACCTGCAGCACTGTCTTAAGCCGCCATTATGCAACAAAGAAGACATTCCACTATTATAAACACAATTACGCTTGAGCAGATACTCTTGGCTAGCCTCAGACCGTGCCGACGCTTCACTACGAGACATAGTTTCCTCATTCTACGCTGCAAGTGAATATTGAATAGTAATTAAAAGTTACTTACCTAATTCGCACATCTCCTCGAAAAGGTGCCTGGCCTCTTTCCCGCGCAAATAACTTCCCGCCTCCCTTTTCTTTCGTGGCGGCGTCGGCGGTGTGCGGTTCGTAGTGCGGCCATTGCGGCCAGTGTGCAGAGAGCGGATTCGGCCGTTGCTTCGGCGGCAGAGTGTATTCTACAGCAAAATCTTTTGAATACTATAATCCACTTGGGATGTTATGTTGATTTTATGTCCGACTTCATTTTTGTGGTTTTGTTTTAAATATGTCTTGAATGTTTTGGCATGTGGGTCAAGCTCTAAAGCAAAAGCCGCATTGCGACGATATCACGCAATCGCTATTGCGGTATGAACTTGGCGCGCGCTGGTCGGCGGTTTAAATTGTTTTAACCTTTTTAGCAGCATTTTGGCTTTGCAGTGGTTCCTTTTTTTTTCATATTTGATCCCAAAAGCTTGTTCGAAGAACCTGCAAGGCATTGCTCGAATTTAGCAGAACGGGATGCAAGGACCTTCTGAGGATATCCTTAGGACGCCACGTTGATGACGAATTCCGGATGGCCCGTAGGATTTATCCTGTGGACATTCCATGGACTACTTTTAGTGGACGAGGATGATAGGACCTTTTGAGGATGTCCTCAGGATGTTGTGTGTTGACTGGGTGCACGCCGGTACGATGATCATTCAGATCGAAACTAATGCAGGTGGGGATTCGACCCAGGATCCCTTGGTTCCGCAGCGCGAGCTTTCGCTTCACGCTCTCCGGTCATCGCACTGAGGTCGAGCGGGGACACGGACTGGGCACCAGCGCAGCGTAACAATTCGGCTGGAAATAGCGTTTAGTCAGCGCTTCGAAAAATGCCCATCGGCTCAAATTATTGACAAATAAAACGTGAGGGCGTTAGAGAGCTGGTGTAAGTTCATAATTGTAGAATTACCCGAGACTGCGGTGACGGAAAAAAAAAACGAGAGGAAGAAGGAAAGAAGTCTCAAAACTTTGAGACTTCTTTCCTTTTTCCTGACATTTTTCTGTCGTCACCACGGCTTCGGGTAATTCTGCAATTAACAATTATTGAGCTTACGCCCTTCGAATATAGTGACGTACCGTTGAAGAAGAGCCGCGCGTTCACAGAATTGTCTGAAACGATGCATGTATGATGTAGTAATGCCTTGAAAACGTGCAATGCCTTTACGCCACACGCCACTCTTTCACTTTCAAGACGATGCAGTGAGGAACGGCAGCGAGCTGAACAAAAGGGAAGAGCGCATTCCAATATATCCCTTCAAACATTTACGCCCTCTTAAAGGAGCTGTGCAACGATATTCAATTGCAATGTTTTTCTCTCTACTCGAGCATACTGGCACACCTGGGACTCAAGGATACTCACAAGCAACGCCATTGGCCAAGAAACTCCTTTGTTGCGGTGTTATTTCAAGGACAAAAGCGATCATTTTCATTCAATCTCTTCTTTGCAATATTTGATGACGTAACTCGGGGATCGCAGTACACACAAGTGACGATATTTGAATGCGGTTCATAGATTGGACCCGAGTATTGAGTGGGCACTCGACTTGGGCTTGTGACAATTGCTAGCTCGAGAAGCATTCGGGTTGTGACCCGTGTCCAATCGCTGCAACGACGACAACAGTCGAACCATAACAATGTCTGGAACTCAGCGCGTGTCCTGCGCTTTGCCAACCCCAGCGCGTGGCTATGGTCAACACTGGCGGCATATAATCGGCTCTAGATCACGTGGCCGCTTGTTCTGGCTGCGAGTTGAGGGGGTGAACGCTACTCGTTTTTCTTAAATTTTTTTCTGGGACTTCTATTGCGTGCTTGGGTAATATAGCAATAGGTCTATTGCGCGGGAGCGCTGGCTGGACTGTGATTTAGCACGTGTGGACTGGGATTTTTATAAACAGTGGAAATGTCTATAGACCGTTTGTTAAATTCAGTGCAGTCTGGTGACTCAAACCAGGGTTTATCTTCTGCCGTATGAATGGCGGTAATCGACCTGCAGTCTGTAGTATTTTGCCAATCACCGTCACTTTCCCGAGCCAAAAACAAGCGAGAATGTTTTTTTCTCTTTTTTTTTGTTTTTGTTTTTTTCATTTTCTCATTTTAAACATTTTTTTTATTGATCTCTCAGTTTTGACGGTGACAAATTTATACCTTTTCTGTTTCGTGTCGTTTTCAGCCACGTGGGGTTCGTACCTGATATGCGGGACAAAAAAAAATGATAACGCATTTCAACCTGGAATATGCGAGAAAATATAAGTGAGGCAGAACAAGGATGTGCGATAATCACGCATTTTTCGTAAACAGCTTCCAGCGACGTGGAGAGATCAAAACGATGTTTTACCGCATACCAGAAGTGACGACATTCAAAATGGTCGCGTCCTTGTGGAAAAGGTGTATACGAGCGGTAGGAATAAAGCACCAATCCATACTGAAGCCGTGATAAACTTGTATACATCAAGGGGATTTAGAGTCGATAATGTGCCGCCAACAAACTGACATGAGCCGAGTTAGAAACAAACCCTTACGCAGCTCTTGTATTCAATTCCTGCGTCGCATCGTAGTGACGTCTCGGATGTACAGAACTTGTATCATCCACTTTGGAGTATCTACAACTTTTTCCATCCTCAACGACCGCAACGCCGCCAATTAGTAAACACTTATTGCATGCCTCAGATGTTTATAGTGGTCCTAGTGGCCAGACTGAATATCGAAGATGGTATAATGTTCTTGTTTCCGCCCGCTCCATCCACTGCGTCTCGCACTCCAGCAGGCTCTGAGAAAGTCGCATTTACACTGCAGCCGCAGAAGATTGCAACCACAAGTAGACATGTGCGGAGCGGTCACGAGCTTACCATGCACGAGAGAGGAATGCTTAGCGCTGTTTATAGTCTCCATATCTGAACACAGTCTCTCCACAGTAACACATCACATTTTGGGTTAGTATTGCCTTTGACGGCAAAGAGTGACTTTTTTTTTCGTTTTGCCTTTTAACTTAATTTTTTGGAAAAGTAAGAGAATGCCACATCATCTGGATTTGACGCTGATTTCAACGGGCAATCTTTACGCGCATGAATTGTGTTAGTTCTCAGTAAAAAGCGCGTTTCATGACTAACCTATATCCAGTAGATTTACGAAAGCATACCAAAAACAGGGGAATCTATAGATGTTGTGCCCGTATGCAGTCCAACCGTCCGCCGTGCCCTTCAGCTCCACACCGCTTTTCACGCTGGAATCCGATCGAATTGAATCAGATACGTTTGCCATCAAATCAACCCCTTTCTGTCAACCGAGCCCCGATTCAACGTCTCGATTTGCTTCCCCACGACCCCGTTCGTGTGATCCCGACAAAGGAAAGGAGAAGACAACGGAATCTCGATGAACTCAAGCGATGCGCGAGGTGTTTGGCGTTGGGAAACGCCAGATGGCTCGCTGAATGCCACAAATCGTTATACTCTGGGGAGAACGTGTATTGGACCTGGTCTTATTACACAAGCTGCTCGCTCGCATTCCCTCGTAAGTTGTGTGAGCGGAAATCGAAAACCAACAGCTGTGCTTTCGCACTTTCGCTTTTGAGAGGTGAGAGCGCCTCATCCTTTGCTTTGCCCAACCTTTGCACAGAACTTTGCTTTGCCCAACCTTTGCACAGCCGGGCGTGGGGTCGGTGGCCCGAATGTGTTAATGTACCGCAACTCGGAGCACGTCTAGCGAAAGCATGCAGTGAGAATCCGGAGACCCTGGATTCAATTCCCACCCCTGCCCGTTTCGATCGTGATGAGCACCGTACACTGGCACGCGATTGTGTATCACCACTGCTTCGTGCAGGTTAAACACCCCTGGCTGACAGTGATATTGCACTGGCTAAATTTCTCATCCACAGCCATCGTTACGAAAACACTCAGTTGGGAAACACGCCGTCGAAACTTGGTCCGCTGGCGTCCACCGAGACCGAGCTAAATACGAGAACAGCGCCACTCTTTATCATCTGTTTGTACTGTGGTCACCTTGAGCTTTTAGAGAGCATGTTTTTGCGTAAAAACAAACGAAAAAGACTCTTTTAGTATGAAAGTTATTGGAGTTTAGTACAAAATGATGGCCGCGTGATGTTTTTAAAATCTTTAGTTTGCAGGGTTTGTGGCACAATTAATATTGTTTTTATACAACCACGCCTCAGCGGTGCTTTCAGGTAGCGCGTCCCGACCTAGGTGCATTTTAACTTCGGTAGTAAGACGAGGCGCGTCCGCTGGGGAGACGGGGGCGGCGCCCCTGTAACCTCTTCCGCTGTATCTGTTGTTTCGGCGCCAAAATGGCCGATTAAAGCCAAGATGCAAGTAACGTGCAGTTCCTCGAGTGGCCGCTGCGGGAAGAATGGCGGCGTTGTGTTCGCCATTAGCTCGGCTCTTGAGGACAGATCGGGGCCACTTTTTCAGAGCAGTCTCTATGGCATTTTCCCAACTGAGTGGTTCTAGTAACGTTGTCTACAGCTGAGACACCATACACGGGTAACGTTGGCCGACTAATGGGAATTTTTTTGTGTGGATCTGGAGTGATTTAAAAGCGCTCCATGCTTGCGCCTTTAGAGCGGGAAATGCTAGCGCCCGCTTGCACGCGTATAGGAAGATATACCGAAAGAGAGGTGCTCCAAAATCGCTCCAAATACTTCACAGGAGGAATGCAAGCAGCCCCCGTGAACACAATAGGCTCGGCGCGGAAAAGATCTGGGACGTTTGAATGGCATAGTTCGTCGCAGCATCGTGTTTTCTTCTTTATTCTTTAAAAATAAGTTGGCAATTAAAGCCATCTCTCGGGTTGGGCTCTTTGCTACCGGCCGCGTATTTGGTATGCGCGCTATTCGGTTGCGGCATCCTGGTATTTTTTTCTTTTTTTTTTCTTTTTTTTACGTAAAAATACTTTAAAATTACACTTCATTGAGTCACCAAGGTTCTAATATGCAGAATGCGCTTAATCTGTCGTTCGGTTCCACCAACTTTGAACTGGACACGACGTCTGTTACTAGCACAGACAACTTGTCACCAACTCGATAAGCGGGTGTAACAATA